AGAATTTTCTCATGGTTTTCACCCCGCCAGACGGGAATAACAGCTTTTTTGGGCCGCCTAGCTGTGAAATTCCGTCTCACCGGAAATTTGTATTCAGCATCGTTTTATTGGGTTGAACAAAATATTTTATAAGTCTGTATATGTGGGTTTTCATCATTCAATTTCTCTCGGAATTGGTATTGGCAGTTGTTTGTTTTTTTTCCAAATTCCCCGCGAATTTGGCTTTGGGGTCCCAACAAATCGCAATTTCGGCAAGATTAATTTCGATCAAATAAGGTTTCGAGCAAATGATACTTCGGCAAATTAATCTGTCGGCATTTTCGACAATATTATTTTCGACGACATGGAAATAACCTGTTTTTAGGTGAGCGTAAATTTGACGAACCCGGTTCTGCATGGCCACGACTTGTTGCTGGACCCGGGCGCGATAATCCATGCAAATTTGAATATACCGAGAAGTGGGTTGACAGCATGAGGAGGTTAGACAGTTTTTAGTGCGCTACAAGATGCGAGGGGCCAAAACGCAAATTCTGCCCCCGGACGAGGGACCCCTCAGCTTATCGTAAGCGATCTTCTGCATTGTTTCTCTAAACATTGATTTTAGAAAAGCGAAGTTCGTCGGGTTGCAGGGGTCAGATGTGAAGAAGACGTCAAAGGAGTTGATCTTACCGTTTTATGCCAAGGAGTTGTTTAATTAACGGACCCGGCCTCACTTTTTCCAAATCTTGACCCGAAATTTGCTCCTCTCTACCGTTGTCGCGACAATTCCGCCCAATTTTCCACGGGTGTATTCCTTTAATAATGTGGCGCAATAATAAAGATATTTATTTCAACAGGAGAGTTGCAAAATTGACCTGAGGACTGAAGGGGGATACGTTGTCATAGCCTTATTAATTAAATTTAAAAAATGACCACCCGGGAATATTGCATTATTTTTGAAATTTTGCGCAAGAAAATTCGGCAATCAGGAAAATCACGGGAAAGTAAAATCACTCGCTAAACTTGCACGAAAAATTTTATGGCGCAACATCAGGCGGTTGCTGAGCCTCCGCCGGCGTTTTTGGCCAGGCGGAAACAACCTGCGCGTCAGGTATCCGATCCAGAGGGATCGCCGCCTCCACATGTTCCTCCCGAATTGCGTGATTCATCCGACCAAGTGACATGCTCCTCTTCCTAGCCATCAACTTCAGATTCACCGTCGTCGTCCACATGCCGCCACTTCCCTTGTGCGTATTTATGCACAGCAGGCGGACGGTGTGTCGAAGGACGGCGTTTCGAGCCTTCGTTACCTTTAAATTTTTGACTGAATTTTAGTGTGTATACTTTGGATACCTTATGTACCCACTTACACCTTTTTTCGTATACCTTTTCGCCCCTCGATTACTTCACAAAACCGTAAGAAGGCCACCCAGGGTCCCGGCTGCCTACAAGCCAGAAATTCCCATAAATCGAAAAAATTCCCCCATCCCACAAGCCACACTTTTTTGCTTGTGAAACTGCTCGGCTTTTCAAATCAGCAATTTCACAAAAAGATGTGAGACTTACGAAAAAAACAGCGACCAGTGGGACTAGGAGTGTCGAGGAGAGGAGCGCCAATAAATTGGCTGGGACGCTGAAGTATGTCGGCGTCTCGAACCCTGGAAATTTGGTTCCGGGCGCATTCAAGCTGATCGTTTGGTCACAAGGTATAGAAAGTAATTGCTTATGCTTAAGCCTAAGCCCGTGACTTAACTTGAAATGCCGAGAAACTCACAATGTGTCAATGCCCCAAAATGCGCGATGCTGAAAAAGGTGGTCGCCAGGAGTGGAATTGAAGTTTGTATGCTCAAAGTGATGAGTAGCCGGCGTTCTCCTTTTTATAAATCCATTAAATGACATCATCACATGGAAATACCGCTTCGCCAGTTTCTCCGTCTCGTGTTTAGATATACGATAACATGAAGCGCCACCCCAACAAAGCATATCGCCCACACATACCCATTGTAGAACTGCACGCAATTATTCATTCTCAAGGGTACCACTTTTATTGAACTTACCGACCACAGCATATCGGCCAATATCAACACGGAACACGTATCGTTTGCCGTGGGAACGCCGATCAGAAAATTCAGAATATCCAGGGATAGCTGCAACGAAACGCTGATTTTTGTGAGAGATTGTCAATTACCAAAGGGCAAAAAGCGATAGACAAGAAAAACACGGATTTGCGCCAAGAGACCCGGTAGCCACGGATTATTTCGAGATACCGATTGAAGGCGACTACCTGTAAGAATTTGAAAGTTATTAGAACAAGTTAAAACGCCAAAAAGGAGTCGTTTTGTTTTGCTCCGGTAGGGGTTTCAAGTTGGGACCAAGTTTCATGTTCAGAATTTTGCGCTGTTTCCGAATATGGATTACCAAATTTGCGAAAATGGATTTTGCGGAAGTTGTTGTATTTAAGCTAGGGAACCGGAGGCGGCACTCGTTCAAAGCTTGCGGAAAATCGCGATTCCGCAAATTT